TTTTATCTGAATGGTTTTATCTAAATGTCTTTATCTAAATGTTAGCTTGATTTTTCTTCTCCATATACTTTTAAGGAAAATTTGTGTTCCTTCAACCTATGAACTAACATTTTTAAAAATTATTTATTTATTTATTTTTTAAAAGATTTTATTTATTTGACAGAGAGACAGCGAGAGAGGAAACACAAGCAGGGGGAGTAGGAGAGGGAGAAGCAGGCTTCCCGCCGAGCAGGGAGCCCGATGTGGGACTCGATCCCGGGACTCCAGGATCATGACCTGAGCGAAGGCAGTCGCTTAACCAACTGAGCCACCCAGGCGCCCAGAAGAGCACTCTTTCAATGTTTGCAAGGGACTCTTGAGAGGGACATGGATCCACTTCGACCTAATGCAGGGATCTCCTCCGTCACACACATCCAGTCATGGGGCTTCTGCTGTGGCAACTCCAAAACCAGGAAGCTGTGTTGCAAGGTGCCTTTCAGAGAGTTTCTTGTAGGGCTCTGACATCTGCCTTCCCTTTGATGGAGTTGCAGATAAAGGATTATACTTCACAGGAGAGTCCTGTTCAAATTTGGGACGGTGAGTGTATTTGCGTATGTGTGTGTGTGTGTGTGTTGGGTGGCGGGGGATGCTCTTTGCCAGATGATTTTGTGGTAGGCTGAAAACTGCCCCCCCAAACATCTTGCCCAAAGATATCATCCTTGGAACTTGTAAACATTACTTAATTTTGAAAAAGCCTTTGATAAAAGATGTGGTTAAGTGAAGGATCTTGAGATCACCAGATTATCCTTGGTTATCCAAGTGGGGCCTAAATGCCATCACACGTGTCCTTGTAAGAGAGAAGCAGAAGGAGATTTGACACACATAGAGGAGGAGGTGATGTGGAGCTGGAAGAGAGATTGGAGAGATGCGCCCACAAGCCTTGGGATGGCAGCGGCCCCCCCAAAAGCTGGGTCAGGCAAGAGGCAAGGAATGCCTTCCCCCCTGGAGCCTCTGGAGGGAGCATGGCCCTGCCAACACCTTGGTTTGGACCCAGTGAAACTAGTTCTGGACTTTGTGCCTTTAGATTTGGGGGAGAATAAATGTGTTGTTTTAAGCCACCAAGCTTAATTTGTTACAGCAGCTGCAGGAAACTACCACAAATTTCTGGGCACAGTTATGTTCTTCCCTGCCTTTGCTATTTATCTGTGTCATGCCGGGACATCATCATTCAATCTGCTGGCCGAACACACTGTGCTAACCCTTTCAACGTATTCAGATACATTTCCTGATGGGCTTTTAGAGCCAGTTTAGTTGATGGGCATCTTCTAGGGTTAATATAAGGATAAAATGACTTATTAATTAGAAAGCCCTTAAAATAGTGCCTGGCTCAAAGTAAAGATATATATACATAATATATATAAGAAGTCATATATAAGTCATATATGGTGCCTGGCTCACACTATATATAAATATTTGTCAAATAGGAATAAATAAATAGAATCCTGTTTTGGGTCCTGGGGTTCTTGCTTATTTGTAGTGCTTTTCCTCTGTTGACTCTTCAGGAGCCAGAGAACATTTTAAATTTAGTCTTAGGTTAATAACATTTCCCTTGAGAATGTGTTCCTTATTTTATAATGAAAGGTTATGGCTAGATGTATTAGATACCAGAAAGAGACAAGCCAAGCTTTAAGGCTCACAGCTGTTCCACTGAGAAAAGCCTACAGTGAAATGCTCATTTCTTTCTATAGCTTCTTCCCTTGGAGACAAAGGACTAATAAATCTAGTCCTATTCATGTGAGTTCTGTATTAAACAAACAAACAAAAAACCCCCTCTCTTGTTCTCTACTCCTAATTGTATTTGAAGAACAGTAAATTACCCTTTTCTCAACAAGGGAAGTTGGGTAGACCCAAGGCTGCAGCGTTAGATGGGGCTGGAGACCAACACAGCCCCAACCTCGGCCCGCGCCCCTCCCCCCCATTAGATTAGGAGTAGAGGCCAAGGTTTTAATCCCATTTCTGTCACTATCTGCTTGTGTGACCTTGAGCAAATCCCTTTACCAATCCAAGCTTCAGTTTCTTCATATAAGACTGTGATTTAAAAATATCTTTAACTTTTCTAATTGATGCCTTTTTGTTTTGTAAATATCTTTAAAAAAAAATGCCTTTGGCTCTTACATACACTGTGATGTAAATGTCCCAACTTAGTTCAAAGGGCTTCAAACACTCTGGTAGAAATCTTTTGACCAAAGACCACTTGTCTATTTTCCATATGCCTTATTAGTCCATATTGTGCTCTCATGAATAGGGCACTCTCTCTCCTCCGGTTCTGGGCGGCGTTGAGAACTCCAGGGCCAGCAGTGGGCTCTGTCAGAGTAGCCACGGTGTGACCATCACGGATCAGACTGTACGAAGCAGGTTTTCTGCCAATTGCTTGAGTGCATATGCTTTTCGGTGGAAGTGGGATATCTGAAAGTGGGAGGGGCAGAGAGAATCTCAAGCAGACTCCCCGCTGAGCACGGAGCCCCACTTGGGGCTCCATCCTGCTACCTGAGCCGAAATGGGGTCTGACACTTAACCGACTGAGCCACCCAGGTGCCCCTCAAAGTGACTTTTTATAGCTTCCAGTGGATTTTCTTACAAATACCTTTTATAGTTGTTGTTAGACCACATCTCAATTTTGCACGGGAGGGGTGGGGCTTGGAAATCACAGAAGCACCACCCTACCTTGTAACTTCCCAGTGTAACTGACTGAGCAATTCTGCTGCCTCCCAAATCAGTATTTAAACAAACTTTAAAAAGAAGGGGAAAATGTAACAACTGTAAATGTAGGCGGTCGGTATATGGGTTTTCACTGTAGAATCCTTGCAACTTTTTTGTATCTTTGAAATTTTTCATAAAGAAATGTTGAAAAATATGTAGGGAAAGATGAACTCTGTTGGGTGGAGTGAGGGGAGGGGGGAGAACTAATCATTTGTTCAAGTGCACCTACTGGGCACCCTCGGGCAGCCTTTCCACCCTGTTCCTGGAGTCCAACCCTGATGTAATAAACAGCATGCTGAATGGACTGGACTCTAAGATCAGAGTTGGGTCAGATGGGTCTCCTCTTAGTCCTCTACCATACCTTGCACAGTCTTTAGCTGGCTCATGCTCACAGATACCAAGGAAAGAGGTTTCTAATACTTGTTTAAAAAAAAATTAGCACATACTTCTAAGGTGCTCAACTGGGATGTATTGTGTATGCATTAATAAATCAGTGGTATGGGTGGCTCGTTTGAGCATCCGACTCTTGATCTCAGCTCAGGTCATGATCTCAAGGTCGTGAGCTCAAGCCCTGTGTTGGGCTCCACACTGGTCGTGGAGCCTACCTAAAAATTAATAAATAAAAATAAAGTAAAAAATCGGTGATGTGTTTATCCTCACTTATCTGGGTTGACAGGTCAAAGATTTGAGAAGGTGGGATCAGCATATCACATTGTCATTTTTTCTAATACTTTTTTTTTTTTTTAAGATTTCATTTATTTATTTGAGAGAGAGGGAGAGAGCAAGCCAGCATGAGGGGAGAGGGAGAGGGAGGCCTCACCCCCTAACACGGGGCTCTATCCCAGGACTCTGGGATCACAACCTGAGCCGAAGGCAGACTCTCCACCAACTGAGGCACCCAGGTGCCCCTTTAATACTTGTTTTTTAATTGACTCTTTTCAGTTGTACTCCTTTAAACCGTGTTTTGCTCCCTCTTTCCTTGCCTTTTACAGGTTCCATCCTATGGCTGTTCTGCGATGTCATTCCAGTTGTTTTTTTTTTTTACTTTGGATCCTTCTTTCTAATATTCTGTGTTGGTTTCATGATCCTTGGGATAAGTGACAATTCCCGAGGCCCCTCGTTATCCGACTTTACATGGCTTCCTGGTATCATTTTTAAAACTCCCAGTGCCCACACTCCACCCAGTTGTGCGGGATATTCAGTTCCCTGCACACACACGTGATACTCTCTGCCCTCTAAGACTTGGCATGCGTACTTATTCTCCCTCCGGGGATACTGGAAAGTTCCTTTCCTCTCCCCCTCCTGTCGGAGGACCTTCTGGACTTTTAAGAGGGGAACAGGTGTTCCTACTCTGCATCTCCCTAGATCCCCATGTTACCCCTTCACGGTACTTATCACCCTGTACTTTCATCACCTTCTCATGTTTCCAAATCTATCACTGCTCTGTAAACTTTTGTTTAAAGATTTATTTTAGGTAGGGGAGAGAGAGAGGAGAGAGCAAGCGTGGGGGAAGGGGCAGAGGGAGAGGGAGAGGGAGAGAGAGAATCAGAGCCTGACGTGGGGCTTGATATCATGACCCTGAGATCACGACCTGAGCCGAAATCAAGAGTCAGATGCCCAACTGACTGAGCCACCCAGGTGCCCCACTGCTCCATAAACTTTAAGAGGGCTGCTCACCACTGTGTCCATGCTGTCTGACACACACAGTAGGTGCTCAGTAATTTCTGCTGCATGAATAAGTAAATGAGGACTAAAAAAGAACAAGTAAATGAAACCGGGAGAGAGAACAGGGGGAGGTGCTATCTTATCCATTTATCTAGTATGGGCTTTACTGTGATGGAATTCACCCTTGTCAAGTGTACACTTCACTGGTTTTAGTTATTTATTTTTGGATCAGCCATTTAGAAAGAGTAAGTTAGTTACAGGGGAAAGTAACGGAAATTTACAAAAAATTTACAAAAGCTCAGTTTATTTTGACTTTGTTAAGAGACCAATGTTTCTGTTGTTGTAGGAACACGAAATAGGATTTTAAATATATTATTTAGAACGGATAACTTAACATTTGAAGAGATATAAACATGTCAAAGGAAAGAAACATAGATCTTGTATTATGTGCGAGTCGTGCATTCACGTTCCTCCTTCAGTTCAGTGCTTACCTGAAGGGGTCTGCGTTGCCCGAGTCTTTGCTTGTGATGTACCTCACTGCCTACAGCAGCGCCCTCGCATCGGTGTTTCTGCATCTGTCTGCGTGTATCTATATATGGTTTGGTGGTCTCTTACATGTGGGGGAGGGATGGCGCGTGATAGTTTGGGCGGTTTCCGATGCCGTAACCATCGCTTTTTTTTTTTTTCAGGAAGTGTATCCAAATCTTTGCTTCATTTTGCTCAACACACAGGAGGAGCTTGTATTTTATGTCTTCTCTTTTTGGGACGTAGTTGGTCATGCCACAGATGATAAAGAATCCAACAGTGGATGATAAAAGAAGTATTGAGAGTGGCACATTCCGCTGAATGTGATGGGACCTATAAGGGAGGAACACTGACCCAGCATGAGGGGAGACTGAGGCCAGAGGATTGATGAGCGAGCAGTGAATCAAATACTTACTAGGGCAGGCCCTGTGCTGTGGGAAATACATATTTCCTCACGTACAACCTCCTGGTCTCTGTTTACCAGGCTGGGGGAGTCAGGCATAAACGCATGGGATTTGAATATAAGACAAGGACAATAGAAAACATGAGCTAACATAAAGGAGGAGAACGGTTTTCAAATGGTCGTGAGAGACAGGTGACCTTATTATCCTGACCGGAAATTATGATGGATAGCCTGACAACTAGAAGCGCCTGTGGACGTTGGGGCCAAGTATTGGGCACTGGCACAGTCTCGGCAGATCCTGGACATGACCGCTGGGGTGTTGAGCTGGGCCCTGGCAAGTCAGTGGGAGTGAGAGCACAGACTCGAGGTTTTGGACAGTTTTCCTTCCACGGAGAAGCAGAGGACTGACTGGATCTGGTTAGGGGGAGAAGAGGCCCCGAGGAGAGCATAAGCCATATTTGGAGATGAAGAGAAGACCGTAGTAGAGGATGTGGGTAGGAAGATGCCTGCGGAGAGGGACTTAGGAATGGACTATTGAGGACCACACGTAAGCGAAGAGAAAGCTAAAAGACGTTCCTCAGGAAGAGACTAGAAACTCCTGTGTTGGCAATAAGAAATGGTGAAAAATTCAGAGGGACCCCCAGAAGCGATGCCTGCTGAAGATTTCTGTGGCACCAGTGTGTGGGTGGAAGGCTGTGAGGAGGCTGTTACAAACCTTTAGGCAGGAGACAACACAGGCTGCCCTGGGGTCTGAGTGAGAAGGGACATTTCCAGAGAAAAGCATCCGGAAAGGACTGTTTTGGTGGGTCGACGGGAGAGAGGCGGAGTAGGACTTCAGAGGCCCTGCTGGGGGGTGGAGGGCGCGGCGGCCGGGCAGAGGGGCGAGCTGGAGCTGCTAGGTCTGGGCGGCCTGAGCCCCGGGAGAAGGAACGGGCCAGGCCATGGGCACTGCCACCGCTGAGCGTGAGAACAGGAGCGCCGAGGACGAGTCCGGGGACAGACTGGGAAGTCTGCGAACAAACCGACCTGACAGTGTGGGCCGCCTGTTTCAGAAGGAGGGGCTCTGACTTAGCTTCCAGAGCGGAGCTAAGCGAGGGCTCTGACGGAGAGCTGGCCACCGGCTTCCCTCTGATTTTTAGGAGTGCAGATTCAGGAGACCGTGGGAGAAAGTATGTTCCACAAAGAGGGAAGGTGGTGAAGAAACAGGCTGAGACCAGTTGTTCTAGAACAGAGAACTGTGTATTTTGCCAAGGGGAAGGAGCCAGTGCGGTGGAGTGGATAATGGAGGAGCAGTGTCTGAAGACCTGGAAGGGAGGAGCACTGACCCAGCATGAGGGGAGACTGAGGCCACAGGACTGATGAGCGAGCAGAGGTGGAGAAGGTTTGGAGCTGGGCTGTTTCCCTGCTGCTTCTGTGCCTTCGTCACCTGCACCCCACAACCCAGCCTCCGAGGCTGCTCCTCAACCCTACAGCTGCCACAGTCTGCGGGCCAGGAGTCTTGACTGTGACCAGAGTGGGGGAGGACACTTACAGATAGGAAGAGGGGCACAAGTCTGGGCCAGGAGGGAGGGAAGGAGGAAAGAAGACAGGTGACCAAAGCAGTTCTGGATTGAAGAAGGAAGGAAGTTCAAGGACTCTGTAATGGGCCTGACTCTCAGCAAAGTGAGGGCAGACCTGGGAGGAAGAAGCGTGGGGAAGGTTCCAGAACCATGGGATGGGAGGTTCCCTGGAGGTGACCACGAAGGCAGAGGAGCAACACTGAGGGCCAGCCGAGGCTCTGTGCACACGCAGCGCTGGACTCAGGGAACACAGACGGAGACTCACCCAAATGGCTCTAAGAAGGCACATCTGGCAGGAGGGCAAGAAGCAGTTTCAAGGGACTAATGGCGATGAATCGGCAGCTGCCTACATTTGCAGGTACGGTAAAAAGAGAGGCGAGGTAGGCCAGAAGTGGGGGTCAAGGGACTGGAGGTGCAAAGGCAGCCCAGAGCGGGGATGGTGGAGGGGAGAGAGCAGATTTCAGAGCCTGAGGTCTCCGTACGAGGGGTGTGGGGTGCAGCTATTAGAGAAGTGGCGAACAGGGCCTCTAGAAGCAACAGAACACAGATGTGGCTGTCCCTGAGGGTGACAAGGACCCTGAGATGCACACTACAGTCCTCGGGGGGGGGGATGGAGTGACCCAGGGGCAATCAGGGGCTGGTGGGGAGGGGTCATAGAAGGGCACCTCCTTATTTTATGATGGCGTTTGTCTTGTTTGAGGAGGATGCCTGTCCGAATGTGTGGACAGAGAGGCTTCTGTACCTCTTCAAAAGTCTTGGGATTTATAGATGGCACAATCACTTCCCACATCCCATTCCATCCTCTGGAAGAAGTAGACCATGGTGCTTTCCATCAGTAAACCACTCAAGATGGCCAGAAAGGAGAGCTTTCGGTTGATGTTCAGGGTCACTGAAAAGGAAAAGGCAACTCATAAGTTCTTAAGAGTTTAATTAGGGTGATATTGGTATGTAAATTCTGTGGCATTATGAATGGAATTGTTCTGTAAAGCTGTTTTTTAGAGACTCTCTATTCGTTCTTATTCATCTGGGCTGCTACCTTCTCCCACGTTTTCATCTCTGAAGAGAAACATAGCATGTGCTTATAACAAAAACACTAAGCTTCTCCTCCTGAAATCAAGACATAGATTTCCATGAATATGGAAGGAGAAAATAAAAAAATGGATTCTAAGGTTATAAAGAGGTTAGCAGGAAAAAAATGGAGCTTTCTCAGTTTTACAGTTTACAAGATGATAAGTATTTCGATAAAAAGTATCAGTTAGGAGGCTCATTTAAAATAACCCTTCTCACAATGGATGGGAAAAATGAAGACCCACAGGGCTGCTCATCCCTTTGTTGGTATAGCAGGAACTGTGCTTCCTGGCTTGACAAGTGCCGGGCCGTGTACATCTGGACAGGTCATGCACAAAGTGGGGGTAATCAGGACTGCCCTACCAACCTCCCAGGACTGAGATAATGCACATGAAAGCATTCCGAAAACTAAAAACTACTATGTCGTTAATTGGAGCAAATACAGACTATGTGCTGTGTATAAGGCACTAGAGAAATGTCAGGCGCTGTTATTATTCTATGGAGAATTCCAGTGTTTAACAGGGTTTATAAGACGGAGTTGGAGAAATAAGGCTTTAAGCTTGTATGTGGGTTGGAGGCTGAGAAGACAGAATAAAAGATAAGCATACCTCTAATTGCCTGAAAATTTGATGTAAGGACAAATACTTTAATGAGTCGGAGGCACAGCGGTGTGTAGTCATGCTCCCAAATGACAGCTGGAATCAGCAAGAGTTTTCCATAGCTAGATAATAATAATGCTTTCAGCAGCAAAATGAAGTTGGGTTTTTTTTTTGCTGTCATCGGTCGTTCTACCCACAGGAAAGTAAAAATGCCAATAAAAAAGGCAGTTTGTTCTAAGGAGAGAATGGAAAACAGAAATATGGATGTCTCTACCCAAACCATCTTCTCTCTAAAAACAAAGAAACCACAATTCCAAAATACAACTTATCAGCTGACTTCATTAGAGCTGCTTCATCAAGATCAAATTTTCTTTATCCCCCTCCCCCTCCCTTTTTTTTTTAAATAAATAAACCCCTCCCTTTTGTGTCAAATCCTGCTGGTGTGATTGCAGAAGCATATTTCAGCAATTCTTTCATGAAGTATTTCATGGCCCATTAAAGTAAAAGTAAGTCCGTGAGAACTATAATCATCAGCTCTCGGAAGTTCTTTCTAGGAAGGAAGGTTCTGTTTAAACAACTTCAGTGTTCCAGATCTCCACAGAAAGAATAAAACAGGAGCACGGAGGAAATTTTTAAGTCTGAAAGCTGGTACCCACCCTAAAAATTACACGCGAGGGTGTTTTCTTTGTTCAGTCTCCCACTATTTATTGCCTATTATCTACAAATTTTGAATACTGTTACCTAATTTTAAAACTTCCCTTACTGGGGCGCCTGGGTGGCTCAGATGGTTAAGCGTCTGCCTTCGGCTCAGGTCATGATCCCGGTGTCCTGGGATCGAGCCCCACATCAGGCTTCCTGCTCAGCGGGGAGTCTGCTTCTCCCTCTCCCTCTGCCTGCTGCTTCCCCTGCTTGTGCTTTCTCTTTCTAATAAAAAATAAAAAATCTTAAAAAAAAAAACCTTCCCTTACTCATTTCAACAAACTTTCTGAGTGCTATTCCTTATCCTTCTGGAAAGTACTCATAGACTGAGTCCAGACCAGAAGAAGCCACAGTTCCACTGGGTCCACAGGACCGAGCACAGTCTGTTCTGTTCCCATTAACTAGGAATTTAACATTTTTTTCAACTGCAATATTATGTTTATTAAGATTGTTAGTCCTCTGATTACCCAGCTGCTTATGTTTTGAGGGGTCTGTCCCTAATTTTATTTTTCCTCATAAGCTGTGTTATTCAGGTTTCTGCAGAATCAGGTTTTTCCTGGAACACATATATCAAATTATAGGAGAGACAACTGTATTTTTCCTAAAATGTTGTATAACCAAATAGAGCCAAATTAAAAAGATTCCAAACACAGGTGATTTAGAATCAGTAAAAATAATTTTGGATGGCTGACCTACATGACATTTGATATATCCCTCATGGGAGACACCCCATCTCCCTGCAAAGTAACTTGAGGACTTGTCAACTGCAAGGATCTGCTCAAATAGGCAGATCTCATAGCCTGAGATTTGGACAAAAATAATTTTAATAACAGCAACAAAGAACTCCTTAACGACAAGAATGATCTAACAATAGTGGGTTGTCTCCTGTCACTGGAGATATTCAAACAAAGCTAGACCACCTTGCAGAACTGAGAGACGGATTTCTTGTGCTGGACGAGGGGGGCGGACCAGTTAACCTCCACATCTTTCTAACTCCGAACTCGAGAGATTTATGCACCTGCACCAGCCCTTGGAGCCTCTACTCCCGAGGCGTTTGCGGATCAGATGGGCTCAAAAGGACCAGCTACCTGCCTACAGAGTGCTGTATGGAGAGACACCGCATGGGGAGCCCAGAGAGCCACCTGTCTCTGTGCTGACATTAACCGGCTGTGGGACTTTGGGGAAATCACCTGCCTTCTAAGTACTTCTATGCTTCCCAGCCCTACATAGGGGAGAATGCCAACCTACCTACCAAAGAGGATGGTTGTGAACATTAAGTTCATAAAACTGTAAAAGCAGTGTTTATTTTCTTTAAAGATTTTATTTATTTATTTGAGGGAGAGAATAAGAGAGAGAGAGAGAGAGCATGAGAGGGGGGAGGGTCAGAGGGAGAAGCAGACTCCCTGCCGAGCAGGGAGCCCAATGTGGGACTTGATCCCGGGACTCCAGGATCATGATCTGAGCCGAAGGCAGTCACTTAACCAACTGAGCCACCCAGGAGCCCCAAAAGCAATGTTTAAATTATAAAATGCTGTATTTATGTAACACATTTTCTATAAGCTATTTTAGGGGTTCATCACCTAATACTGGATAAAAAAGTTAAGTAACAGTAGAAAAAGATTTCTGACTGAGTGTCAAAATATCTGCTATAGAGTAGGTGCTACAGTAATTCCAAACTTTGGAAATAAGCCTGGTTTATTTTTCGTATTAAAAATTATGGACATAAAAGAGTTTACCCTTAGAAATTTTAAAAGCCTTTGCTTTAAAGCTTAAATTTATATTAGGTTCTCATTCTTGGCTTAGGCAGTGTTTTCAAGGATTTTTTTTTTTTTTTAAGATTTTTACTTATTTATTTGAAAGAGAGAGAGTGAGCGAGAGAGATAGCATGAGCAGGGGGAGGGAGGGAGAAGCCAACTCCGCTGCTGAGCAGGGAGCCTGATGCGGAACTCGATCCCAGGACCTGGGATCATGACCTGAGCCGAAGGCAGTTGCTTAACTGACTGAGCCACCCAGGCGCCCCTTCAAGGATGTTTTTTATATTATTATGTAGGTTTGGGAATTCTTTGCATATAAATTTTATTTATTTATTTTTAAAGATTTTATTTATGTATTTGACAGAGAGAGAGATAGCGAGAGCAGGAATACAAGCAGGGGGAGTGGGAGAGGGAGAAGCAGGCTTCCCGCTGAGCAGGGAGCCCGATGCGGGACTTGATCCCAGGACCCCGGGATCATGACCTGAGCCAAAGGCAGACGCTTAACGACTGAGCCACCCAGGCGCCCTTATTTATTTATTTATTTATTTATTTATTTATTTATTTTAAAGATTTTTATTTATTTATTTGACAGAGAGAGACACAGTGAGAGAGGGAACACAAGAGAGGGAGAAGCAGGAGAGGGAGAAGCAGGCTTCCCACAGAGCAGGGAGCCTGACGCGGGGCTCGATCCCAGGACCCTGGGATCATGACCTGAGCCGAAGGCAGACGCTTAATGACTGAGCCACCCAGGCGCCCCCCTATTTATTTATTTTTTAAAAGATTTTATTTTTAAGTAATCTCTACACCCAACATGGGGCTGGAACTCATAACTCCGAGATCTACAGTCACTTGCTCTACCAACTAAGCCAGCCAGGCACCCCAGCATAAACATTTTAGAACCTCAGACCTGCATAAGGGGACCAAGGGAGTGAGGGCAGACTGAGAAGAAAATGGGACAAAAGACAACATAGTCCAGAAATCCAACACTGCAGTGAACTGGAGACTTGATATTATTATAATAATATTTCTTTGTAATCAAAGAGTTTAGAAGCAGAGAAGCATGGAAGACAGTAAATAAGAAAATAGTCACAGAAATTAATACAATTCTGACCTACGTCAAAAATTCGAATTCTGAAGAAAAGCAATTCTGGAACTGAAGGAATTTTGGGGCAGTAGCCACTTTCCCTGTATGCAGTCAGATAAATAAGAAGTATTCCCTAGTAAACAGATTGCATTAGTTCAATGCAATTAGCATAATACATTGGATAATGTCTGGCAATTATCAAACTGTTTCAGTAAAGATGGGACCTAGGTAATCTTTAAACTGGACAATTGAGAAATTAAGTTGAGGAATTTTATCAACGATATTATGCCTCGGGGCGCCTGGGTGGCTCAGTCGTTGGGTGTCTGCCTTCAGCTCAGGTCGTGGTCCCGGGGTCCTGGGATTGAGCCCCGCGTCGGGCTCCCTGCTCGGCAGGGAGTCTGCTTCTCCCTCTCCCACTCCCCCTGCTTGTGTTCCCTCTCTTGCTGTGTCTCTCTCTGTCAAATAAATAAAAAAAACAAAAACAAAAACACAGGGCGCCTGGGTGGCTCAGCTGGTTAAGCGACTGCCTTCGGCTCAGGTCATGACCCTGGAGTCCCGGGATCGAGTCCCACATCGGGCTCCCTGCTCGGCAGGGAGTCTGCTTCTCCCTCTGACCCTCCCCCCTCTCATGCTCTCTCTCTCTCTCTATCTCATTCTCTCTCTCAAATAAATAAATAAAATCTTTAAAAAAACAAAACAAAACACAGTATTATGCCTCAAGATAATTTTATGAAACTCTCTAATCTGCTAAATATAACCATTTCCATAACATATGTGTGGCAACAAATAAAAAAGCAGCCAATTTAGACAAACTCACCTAGCAGGTTGGTGACACAGCTGAACATTTAGTCTCAAGTCCTGTATTAACCTCCTCCTCTTAGCAATGATTAAGACCAGCCACCTCACTTTTATTCAGAATAGTGGTTACTAGTTCACTAAGAATAGAAAGCATGGCTTCTTCCTACCTAGAGAGGCAACTGCGAACATTCTATAGAAATCCCATTCTTTGGCATATCTGATGAAGTCGTTAGGATCAGCGTTCTGGTTTGAATCTTGAAGCTGCCACCACCTCAGGTATGCTTCACAAAGCAAACAAAATATGCAGAGTTTTCCATGCATCTGGGAGTCAAAAAGACAATGCCATTCACTGGGTAAAGAAACAATTACACATAATACCAAATAGGCACAGACATAGCTAAGTATCTGTGGTTTTGAAGAGCCTCCCATTTCATAGATTTTCAAATTCAGAACTGCCAAGTTAAGTGTGTCATTGTGTTGTCTGTAAACCAGTGGTTCTTTGTCAGCAACATCCACCAGAATCACAGGGGAGATTTTTCAGACTGCAAATGTCTACGCCCCAATCCTGATCCAGGATCTTTGGAAGTAATCCTAGACATGTAATTTTGAAACAGTTCTGGTGGGAGGGAGGATTCTGATGTATACCCCTAGTTAAGAAACACTGCTTTAAACAGTAGTTCACCCGCCACTACATTTTCAGCATCTGTCCTGGATCAGGACAGAATCAGGCACAGAATTTATGTGACTCATGGATAGGTGGAAGCAGCCATGAGAATAGATTTAACCTGAAGATTCCATTATACTTCATAGGAAACTATTAGTCTGAACATATTTTAAAAAAATGGCCCTATGCCTGATGAATATAAATTCATATACTGAAGACAGCAATTAAAAGGTAGAAAATCCCCTGCAATTTTAAAGAGTCTGAAATTTTGGCAAAAAAGAAAATACCAGGCAACAAAAATCGGCTTTTTATTTTATTTTTAAGTAGGCTCCATGCCCAGCATGGAGCTCAACATGGGGCTTGAACTCACAACCCTGAGATCAAGACCTGAGCTGAGATCAAGAGTCAGACACTTAACCAACTGAGCCACCCAGGAGCCCCAAGAATTGACTTTTTAAAATACATTACTCTACTGGGGCTCCTGGATGGCTCAGTCAGTTGGGTGTTGGACTCTTGGTTTGGGCTCAGGTCATGATTTCAGGGTCATGGGATCTGAGCCCTGCATTATGCAGGCTCTGCGCTCAACTCCCACCCCCAGCATGTGTGCTCTCTCTCTCTCTCAAATAGATAAATAAAATCTTTAAAAATTAAAAAATAAAAAAAATACATTACTCTATGGGTTGGCCTTTCTATGTCAATAGAAAGTGTGCAAATACAATATAGTCCAGGAATAGGTATCAGTGTGGGCTTCTGAGCTTCTAATAGGCTCCACTCTGGAATTACCTGGGGAGTTTTAAGAAACACTGATGCCTGAACCCATCTCCAAAGATTCTGATTTAATTGATTCTGGGTGAGGCCTTGCTTGGAAGGATTAACTGCCATCTCCTCCCTCTCCCCCATGTGATTCCATTGTGTTCCAAAGTTTGGGAATCAACGCTCTAGCAATTTAAAAACTGCCCTGGTTATTTAACTTGGGGGGTGGAGGGGAGGGATTCCCTCAGTAGAATATAAAATGCAATAAATTGTTTGAAAATATTTCTCTTTTAATGTTTGCTTACTTCTTCTAGGTGTAATTCTCTCCCTACCTGGATATATTTAATTTTATTGTTAGAAATAATCGATGTCTTTTTTAAAAGGTAACCTACTAAAAGGCAATCCAGATTATGGCTTGTCAGTTTCCTCCCAGTGACCATATTCTTAAATACTCTCTGAACATTGTGAACCTTGTTTATTAATGATTGTTATTTCTAGAAACTTACATTTTTTTTTTTACATTCTTGAGATAAAAGACCCATCCTTGTTAGAATTTCTTTTTCTTTTCTTCTCTTCTTTAAAGATTTTATTTATTGATTTGACAGAGAGCCGGAGAGCGAGCGAGAGAAAGCACAAGCAAGGGGAGCAGCAGAGGGAGAGGGAGAAGCAGGCCCCTCACTGAGCAGGGAGCCCGATGAGGGGCTTGATCCCAGGACCTCAGGATCACAACCTGAGCTGAAGGCAGACACCCAACCAACTGAGCCACCCAGCGCCCCTCGAATTTCTTTTAAAAATAATGTTCTTTAATTCTGGTCAAAATTATTGTTCTTTAAAAGTGCAAAAGCATCATCAAGTAAAATTAGAAAGTAAAAAAATTATTACAACTTACATTTATTTTAGTATTGAAAAGAATATGTCTGTAGGCCTGGGCTTTGCATAAAATAGCGTTAATCAAGATGATAACAGGATCATACTCGATATATTTGTCTACAGGTTTCTGGCAGGATTTCTGAAATAATGTGAGATAATGTTAGAACAAGCAAATTTATACATTCTGAAATCTTAAAGGATTTCAAACTAGCAGAGTCTATTTTGGACTTGTATGGCAATAAGGACATCTTAGCATTTATTTAAATTAACTTTTCTTCAGACACAAAATGTTCACCTATAGAAGCCATGGTTTCAGAAATGACTATAATCGTCTAGGTGAGAGATAGTAATCTTTTTTTTTTTTAAGTAAAGCGATAGAAGTTTATTAAGTGAAGATACAGAAAAAGCTCTCAAGAGTTAGAGGGGTCCTGACAGGGTTGCCAACGAGGGCCTTTAGGGTTGGTCTTTTACAGAAAGCTAACCAGGGAACTTAAATCCTTTTAACAGAGAGATAGTAATCTTTTAATCTCATATGTAAGAAGCTAAAAAGACATTTGATTTAAAGACTGATATGAGGCAGAAAAGTAACCCAGAAAAGTCTACTTTCAATTTGTAAGAGTTATAGGATAAATAAATAAATTTATAATGTACTTTTATTGAGAAATTGTTCCCTGTTGGCTAGACGGCCACCAACCTTGTGGTTTTTTGAAACGTGATTTGGAGAAAGGGGTTCAGAGGAGTAACCCCCGCACCCAAAGTTTCTGAGAGCTAAAAGCAGGTAGAGTGTGGGACAGTGTCAACAATCCAGGGGTGGCAGATACTAAGAGAAACTTTTTTTTTTCATCCGATAACATCGAGACTGTGGAAAGAAAATGGTCTTTCTCTGTGACAGTGAAGACACTGGAAGATCCTGAGCTGTATGTAAGGAAGTGGGTTGGTTAGCTTGGTTCTAGGTTACCTGAAGCAAGGCTCTCCGTGACTCCTATGAAATTGCCCTTTTTTTGGACACATGTGATTACAATGTTACCAAATCCCAACACCATTAGAACATATAAAACACAGGCGTACAAGAACAAGCTCATCAGAAATGTGACATTTGAAAGAGTTTTAGTTACAAAGTTGAATCAAGGCTACTATTCTAATGGCTACAATTCGAACATTTTGAAATTTTGAGAAGATAAAATGGAACCAGAAGTGAGGGATACGCAAACATGCTGGGATGGCCTTTTAATTACATCAAAGCCCTAGGGAAGAAAATGAAGTGCGCAGACAAGCATTAACCCTGCACTCCAAATGGAATGAAAAAAATCACTTCCAACTTAGAGTTTCTCCACTTCATTCATGTCATTTACAAGATATGGGTATGGTTTTGAGTCATCAAGGGAACCAATGAAGGGAGATGTGCTATTACTTGAAATTTAAATCCACCTAATAAAACTGAGGCACAAGAGGTAATAATTTTGCAGTTTTTCAGCTGGGCAAAGAATAAGCCAGGGTCTAAACAGAAGCCGCAGATTCAGAAATCCTATGTTCATGACAAAGAGCTGTTTCCTAGACACCTTCCCTGTGCTATCCGTGTGGAAAACACTTCCTCCCTACAAACCACTGCAGCACCAGAGATGCTACTTCATTGCAAAATGAAACTGCTGGCTGGTCAAGGGTCTTGTCTCTGTCCTTTAAAAGTTCCCTAAAACCCATCTTCAGACCTTGTAAGTCTATGCCAGGATTTGGACAATTTTTAGAAGGAGGGAGGCCGAACCTGTACCTGCAGACATGGCACTCCACAATCACTTGTCTGACGTGTTTGGAGTGGCTACAACATTCATTAGAACAGCTCTCTTTGCTTAGCCATTTCTATGGACCAGGCATTTCCAAGGTGCTGGATATTTACTTTGAGACATAAGTCTCTATCCTCCAGGACCTTATAGTTTAGAAGAGGAAGACGAATAAGCCTGCTACTGTAAGTGCTTTAGTGGAATGAACACATGGTGACATGAGTGCAAATAGAAGGTGCAGTTTCGGGCCTCATGTGCTATTTCGCGTGCTATGCCTTCCCTTCCTAGCACTCTTGAGTATTTTATAAACATCGAGAATTCATTAGAGTCTGCTGGTCCCCTCCCTATCAGCTTCAGCCTAATTTTTCCTTGTTCTGCTTCTATTATTTGCTTTTCCTTTGAGTGCTTCCTTCACCTTGAATGTAAGGAGGGAAACCACGCACACACAAAACAAACAAATGTAGTAAAACATCTTAGTGGCAGATGGCTACATTTAGATATGTTTTCTGATTTTGGAAAAACTGTTCCATTCCATTTACTACTTACTAGACAAATATCCTGAAAGAGAAAGTTGTCCTCTAGGAAATCCTTACAGCATGGGGACGATGCACACCCTGGAAACTCAAACACTTCCACCACCTCTATCTCACCATGGATATGAATGATTTTCTGCTGTTATGTTCTCCAGTTCTCTAGTGAATCATATCTCTTTTAGAATATAAACTGGCCAATATTTCGTGAATATTCTTGCTTCTTCCTCCCCATCATCTCCAGCACCTTGCCCTTCCCCACTGATTCTCAAATCTGTTTCATTTTAGCTCCACAATAAGGAAACATGTATCTTTTTTTTTTTTAAGATTATATTTATTTGTTTGTCAGAGAGAGAGAAAGCATGGCCAAGCAGAGGGAGGAAGCAAGCAGAGGAAGAAACAAGCTCCCCACTGAGCAAGGAGGAGTCTGAGATCATGACCTGAGCTGAAGGCAGATGCTTAACCGACTGAGCCACCCAGGCAACCCAGCAAACACCTACCTTCAAAGTGGAACCTCCTAGACTTTAAGCTCCTCAAGGGCAGGATAGTGTCTTATTCATCTTTGCATCCAGCATCTAAAGGTGGAAACTGAATACTGTAGCACTGAACAGACTTAAAATTTAAGAGAACCTCAAAGGAATCTTGTTTTGTTACCATGATGAATTTATCAAATATCTGAGCACATAAAAGAGTCCAGGCACTATAGGATATCAAAAGTACTATATCTTTAAACATAATTATAATAAACTGTGAAAAGCTGAAGGAGAGGGAGTGGCTAAAAGCAAGGGACATGCTTCCATTAGATGGAGGAAAATTAGGGAAACCCAGAGGGGCAAGTGGGGAGGCAGGGCAGTGGAAAAATAGGACGAGCAAAGAGAAAAGAAGGGAGATTAGGCTGAGAAATACAGGGAGATCAGGCTGAATATGCTGCTGACTCCAAATACAGCAGCTAAGAGACCAAAGTACGAATGAGTTACCAGCTTATAGAAACTTTGGCCATTTTTTCAGAACAAATAGCCTGACATCTAAAAACTTTTTACTCTCATGACTTGGGAGAGCCTTTAAAAAATTAATTATTTTACAATTTAATTTTCAGAGTCTAGCATCAACTAAATAATTTTTCCCAAATAATTCCACTATGCATATATTACCATGATAAAAATGAGGATATTACACACTCTGTCCTCAGGGAATGACTATGAACCATAACGTACTGTACCACCATCCAATATTCCAAATACAATTCTAGAGAAGCCAGCATCTGACTATTAGGAAAAGGATTTTGTTAGTTTAAGGCCAATAATTAAAAAAAAATAAAGATTAATTTATATCATTAAAGATCACTAACTAAACTGCAGAGATAGTTACAGCTTTACTCTGGACAAAAGACTATATTCACAGTTATGTGGTTGTCATCTTGAAGATAGATCATTTAATTGGGCCAGTCCAGAAGTCATTAAGTTTAGATGCCATATAACTCACAAGGCCATCAGAATGGCCAAGGATATGAACATCTAAAAACCTAGAAATGGTTCATTCATTCAGCAAATATTTCTTGTGTACTTACTCTGTGTCAGGCACTGTCCTGGGTGAGCCAGCTATATTAATGAATACATTATACAGACACTCTTTCCTTGTGTAGCTTATATTCCAGTGGGAGGAGACAGGCAATAAATAACAAGTCAATTGTATAGAATATTCAAAGATGATAGGTGCTATGGGAAAGATAAAGCAGGGAGAGGTGATAAGGTATACCAGACTCGGGAGGGAGAATCACAATTTATAATAGGGTGGTCAGACTGGGCCTCTCTGAGATGTTAAAAATAACAATAATTGAAAGAGGTGAGCGAATTAGCCATTTCAGACATCTGACAGAAGAGCATTCCACGCACAGTGCAGAGGCCCTGAGGGAGGAACTTGTCTGGTTTAAGAACATTCAGGAGGCAATGGTGCTGCAGAAGAGTAAGGGATGAGTACCAGGAGACTACATAGGCCTTACAGCCAGTGCAAGGATTTTGGCCTTAACTCTTGAGTGAGATGGAAAAACAATGGAAGGTTTGAGAAAAGGAATGATATAATCTACTTAATTTTAAAAGCCACAGTTTGGCGGCCATGTAAGGAGGCTGAAGAGGTGCAGGGGTAAGAGCTAGGACAATCATCCAGGTGAGACATGATGACAGCATGGATCATGGTTGTAGAGGTGGTGAAAAGCAGTGGATTCTAAACATAATCTGAAGACAGAGCTAACAGGATCTGCCAAGCAAACGAATAAGGAATATGGGAGAAAGAGGAATCAAGGCTGACTCCAAGGTTTTTTGGTCTTAGGAATTAAAATGGACGAGTTGCCATTAACTGTGAAAGTCTGACCTAACTACAAAAATCCAACTGGAGAAATCAAGTAGGTAGTTGGACATTTGCGAACACTGTGGAATTCAAGGAAGAGGTTCAGGCTGGAGGTTCAAATTTGGGAATTGTCAAAGTTTAGATGGAGTTTAAAGCCATGAACCAGAATGAGCTCTTCAAAGGAGAGTGTGTAGACAGAGGCCCAAGATCTTAGGGTACTCCATGGTTAAGAGGCAAGGCAGGTGAGGCAGAACCAGAAATGAGTCTGAGAAGAATAGTCAGTAAGATGAGAAAACTAGAAGAGTCTGGTGTCCTGACAAGTGCACACAGTGTTTCCAGAGGGAATAAGGTCAAATGCTGCTGACAGTTCACTGAGAATGGACTATTGGATTTAGCAAAGTAGAAGTCAGTGATCGTGATCATAAGAACAGTTTCTAGTGAAATGGTGGGTGGGAAGAAAGTGGGTCTGAAGTAGTTTCAAGAGAAAGTAGGAAAGGAAATAAAGATAGCAAGTATAAGTATCTCTTGAAGGACTTTGCTGTCAAAGGGAAGGGAAAAAAGAGGAGGAGCAAAAGGAGGAAGTGAGGTGAAGAGTGTGTGTGTTTTTTAAATTAAAGAAAGACGGTACATATATTGGTGGGGACGGTCCAGTGGAGAGCAGAAGAGTATTGCTGCAGAGATGTCCCTAAGTAAATGGAAGAGGATGGATGGGATCTAGGGCATAAGTGCATGCTGGTTTTAGACAGGTATACGGACAGTTCATCCATTCTAAAAGGAGGGAAGAAAGAGCGTATGAATAACCGGTGCTAGTACTGGATTTATGTGGTTGCAAAGCTTGTGGAAGTTCTCTCTCTCTCTCTTTTTTTAATCAAAGCAGGAAAGTATATGTGGGAAACCTAAGAAGAGAGATGGTTTGTGAGGATGATTTATCAGAGTGGGAACGTGAATGGATTAGTGAAATGTAATGTGATGGCCAGATGGCATCAAGGGCTACATGAGGTTAGTGGTCATGAATTTAGGTGTTTTTTTCCTCAGTTGAAGTACAGCTGCAAGGATGAGGAGACAGATCAGACAACATGTTGGATTTAACCAGGGTTGACATTTTGCCAAGTGAGGGAAACCACTTGAGAGAGGAACAGTGATTATGTCAGTTGACAACAGATTAAATAGGTACACGTTCACACTTTGTCTAATCCCATATATATTACTACAGACCATGTTTTTCTAAGGAGGATTATTATTAGAAAATCATCAGGAGAACAGAAATGGGACAAAAACCTATTGACTGCCTATCATGTGGCAGGTTCTTTGCTAATACCCCAAAAAGAACCTGCGATTTTGTGACTTCGAAACATTAAATCATTCTCTATAGACTATGAACACCTTGAAAGCAAAATTTTTACTTCATCATTTTTGGATTTTGTATCACCAACGTCAAGCTTAGTGCTCTGCACACAACACATACTGCACATTCAATAACCACAAAGGATGAAACCTGAAATAAAGTATTCCAGGAAAATTTAATACGGGGTATGGACCGTAAGGATGATAACATTCATCTACGAAAGGGAGAACGGCTAAGAACTAAAGAGTTTGGGCGTGAACCCGAATGTCAACATAATCCAATCTTTAAGTCTCTCAGCACAACGTCTACATCCATCTCCGTTCGAGGATCCGTTCGCCGCGTTAGGTCTCACCAGCAGACATGACGGGTACGAGAAAACCGCTATAGGGTGGTGAGTTCTTTAACACTATGGGTAACCATGTAAAGGCTGCACTGATCCCGGACAGGAATGTCAAGTATCGAACTGAGCACTATGCTAGAGGACCCTGAGACTCGTCGGTTTTTACTGCCCTAAAGAGCTGATAAACAGATCCCATTGCCTCTCATGGTCCCCAAATCCCAACGCGCTATTTTCTGCCCAAGGACACCCCACACCTAACAACTCACGCAGATGGTTATCTTCAGCACTCCGTGGTTATAGTCTCGGTACAACTCCTTGGCCTCTTGGTTGCATTCGATGCACCTGTACTGGCAGGAGGCCGAGGCAGCAGTAGGAGTTGCTGCAACCCCATCCGTGTTCCCCTTGCCCGCGGCCACCCCTTCTGTGTTTCCCTTGCCTGGCCGTAACCCACTCCTCCCACCGGTGCCCATTTCCTCGCAACAGCAGCCGAGAACTTCCGATTCAGTGGCGGGGGAAGACGTCAGAAACCAGACCGGAAAGCCTGTCCCTCGCGGTGCTTACTGGGATTCGTAGTCTCAGTCCTGGAGAGGGGGCTCGCGGCTGGCCGAACTGGGACTACAACTCCCAGCAGGCAACGCCACACCCCTTTCCCGCCCCCTTGCCACGGCCCACCTGCCCACCGCGGGTTAAGGCTGGGAGGCCGCACCGTGCGGCGAGGGCCGCCGCACATGCGCCTTGAGGAAAGATGGCACCTGCCGGCTGCTGCTGCTGCTACTGCTGCTGGGGCGGCGCTGTGGCCGCCGGACTGCTGCTGTTGTTGGGGGTCCTGTCCGCCGGGCTGTGCCCGGGCGCCGTGGCCACCGAGCACTACTCGCCGCTGTCGCTGCTCAAGCAGGAGCTGCAGCACCGGCAGCAGCAGGAGGCCCCGGCAGGCGGCGGCTGCAGCCCTCAGTCCGGGGACTGGGGAGACCAGTACTCGGTCGAGTGCGGCGGTGAGTGGGCGGCGGCGGGCGGGCGTGCGTCCCGGTCGCCCGGGGCCGCGGGGGCGGCGGGGCCGTGGGAACGGCTGGCCCCGGGGCCGAGATTCTGGGCCGCCCGGGCCTCGCCGCCGGCAGCCGCGGTGCGGCGTGTGCTCCTGCGGGAGCCGGCGCCGCGAGGTGTCATGCCGGGGCCGCTTCCCGCCGCTCGCACCCATGCCGCTGCGCGCCCTCCTCTCGTAGCCGCCGTGGGGAGGGTGGTGAATGGAGAAAAGAGCTGACAGCATGTTACTGCGGCCAGGGCCGCCTCTCCGGAGTCCTAGCAACTGTTGAAAGGGTGGAAGAGAAGATGGCAAGTGGCCCGGAGCAGCCCCGGTACCCGCTCCGGGCCCCGCGGGTGCCGGGGGAGCGAGGGAGGGACCGACGGACGAAGGAGGACCGGGTCCGGAGAGGGGGTCCCTGGCCCGTCTTAGGCCCAGAAATCAGGTTTTCTGACCTCTTGGGTTGATGTCTTGTATTAAACACCACCTCTAAAAATGTGAAGCCTGAAAGAAGGAAGGGAACAAGATTGCAAGCCCATTTTACTCGCTCGTTGACGTCTTGCTTCCAGTTATTTAAGACTGACCTGTGACCTGTCAGGTGTCTCCCAGAGGGCAGAAAGGGCCCTGCAGGCCTTGAGCCTGTGTATGTCAGAGCTGTGTGTGTATTGGAACTAGGCCAGCTCATTCATTAAGATGGGCGCTATTGCCTTCAGCTTAGTAAGTCATGGCAGATGCTTCAGGGTCAAAATACGTGTGTACGGTTTTTTTGTTTTGAGGTTCTCCATTGGGTCTTTTCACCCTTCAATCCCCTCCCTTCCTTTTCCCTTCCTGTCCCTTTCCTCTTCCCTGGAATTCGCTTAAGACTTGCTTTGGAAAGTTCTGGGTCTACCGAACTCCCTAGAAGCTGGCTGGTTGCTTTTATGGCCTGACGGCAGTGTTCTTTACTATTGTGTAACTGGGAAGACAATAAGTAATTTTTAGTTGAGATGAAATGTCCAGATTAGCACACTCTGATTTCCTTTAAGCACAATCTGACTCTCCCTTAAGGAAATCTCACTCATTGGAGGGTATGTGACTTCTTTATTTTGTAGTAGGCCTTGGCTAGTAATGGTAATAGGGCCAGCGTTGTAGAGTGGGAACAGAGTGGCTTTTACCTCTGTCGCCTTCTGTGACTCTGCACAAGGTAATTGCTTGTCTTTGCAGAATTGCCGCCTCTCTAAATTGAAGGCACTGTTACCTAATTACGGGGTTTCATTTTCTTCACAAGAGTGCTGTGAGGAAAGTGAGAAATAGCCAACACATATGGAGTGCTTGCTGTATGCCAAGCACTAGTATGCGAGCTTTAGGTTGATTAGCCTATTCTCTTAAATCTGTCAGCACACCATTCTCTACCTCATTGGATGGTAACTCCTTTTCCTCAGGTGGGGAAACTGAGACACAGTGAAATCATCACCTTCCTGAGGCCCCCCAGCTGTAAAGGGAGGAGCCCAGACAGGCAGGCTCTAGATGAAACTTTGTCTTAGACGCTAAGTAGTTACAGGTAGAAAACCACATCTATAGTATTTGCTAGCATATAGGACGTTATTATGTAAATCTTCATTTCCCTTTCCCTCCTGTAGTCATGTGATGCTCACTGGCCCAGGGAGACCCAGATTCTAGGCAATGGAAGATGCAAATCAAGATTTCTATTATGAAATTGCTTGGTATTCTTGACCTAGGTGGCTCATTTCACTCTGTGGCATCAGGCTCATGCCAGTGTTTGAGTCCTTATTTGAGCCAACTCTGATCTGTATTATGCTTTTCTCCTAGATTATATAGGTTTTCATGAACTAGGCATTTGGAAGAATTCTCCTCTCCATTCTACCAGTTCCCTGTTATGTGGGAACCATTACCTTGTGTTCTCTGCTTCAGAGGATGAACACTATATTATGAGATTTTAAGCATATTTTATTCAAATGTTTCAATTTTCTATTTATTTCCCCCATGTAGTACTTATTTTCATAGTTTGGAATTACAGAGGTGCTGTTGCAGATGTGTGGCATGAGTCTTTGAGCCAGCCGTCCCTGGGCTGACAACAGTGTCCCGCAGCTGCTGACAGGTGCTAAAGTGGCTGGGCCACTGCCGCTCGCCCCAGTTAATCATTCCCAAAGGCAACTGCTTGTGCTCCTCGGCACTCCGGCTGTTTCTCTTAGCTTTATTGGCTGTGGTACGTGACAGAAGCCCTCTCTATCGGGGTAGCAACTCCCAAAGTGTCTCTCGCTTCTCGCTCCTCATCTTGGGCAAGTAGGTAGAAGCTGGACCCTATGAAACCTGCCCCAGTCCCTCACTGTCCTAAGAACAGATGTAGGAACAAATTCAGGATTTGCAGCTAACCATGTTGTAACCTAGGGGCTCATGTTCTGAATCCAGAACCCCCTTCTGCTCAACAGTAGGGCCTAGATAAGTGCCAGGATCCAGAACGAGCCATTTCTTCAGAGCCTCACCGTCTGTTAATCATACCATCACTTGCTGCCTTTCCAGCCACAGGCCTGTCCATATCAAGCCAGTTGGGGGACAGATGCAGAAACCACTTTTCAGAAACCTTCCCATAGCTTTTGGATTCCGATGGCTGATTGATGCCGCTTGGGTCTAAATCTGCACACCTTCTGGTGAGCTGTATGTGTATTCTCGTAAGACAGAACCCCCAGTAATTATAGAGCCAAAGGCAGCAGCTGGTGGGAGCGCATAGGTCTGAACACAGCACTGGCAGTCGCTGTGCTGTGTGGACCACCCTCAAATGGAATCCAGTGCCCTGGGAGCAGAGACAAGCATGGGTGACCCAGGCACCCGGGGCCTCAGCCTGACTTTGCTGTTCCCAGGCCCCCTTCAACTTTCTCTTCCAGCGCAATTTTTACATTTTACTTGAAAAGCATGTATAACCACAGACGTTGGATCATTTCTCTGTTTTCCTGGGGGAAAAATAATCTTACTTTTAAAAGAAGTGAACACTGAAATGTACATATTTTTTCTTTTTTCTTTTTGTTTTAAAGATTTCGTTTATTTGTCAGAGAGAGAGCAAGCACAAGCAGGGGGAGCGGCGGGCAGAGGGAGAAGCACGCTCCCCGCCGAGCAAGGAGCCTGATGCGGGGCTCAATCCCAGGACCCTGGGATCATGACCTGAGCCGAAGGCAGATGCTTAACAGACTGAGCCACCCAGGTGTCCCCATATTTTTCAAATAAAAATAAATTTCCTTTCCTTGTTACCTTTGCCCTGTTTGTAGTTTGGAATTGTGGGAAGAAATAAGGAACAGAAGTTTTTCCCCTAGTTTTATATTTATAAACACTATGTACGTTCTTATTTAATCCTCTCAGCACTGCAGCAGGTACTGTTTTTATCCCCGTTCCACGGTAGAATGTAGAGCCAGGGTTTGAGCCTGGCCTTCTGACCCTTTGTGTATTATTTCCTCCGTAATATTTCCCTCTTAGAATAATTTCTTGTCAGTATTAATGATCAAGTCCTATACCCTTCACCTTTGTTGAAAGTTACATTCTTAAATAACTTGTAGAATTTTATATGGACATATATGGAAGGATGCTTTATTGCACTTAGTATTTTGAACTATAGCGCTAGAATGAATTTTTTTTTCTTTTTAAGATTTTGTTTATTTATTTGAGAGAGAGACACAGTAAGAGAGGGAACCCAAGCAGGGGGAGTGGGAGAGGGAGAAGCAGGCTTCCCAAGGAGCAGGGAGCCTGATGCGGGACTCGATCCCAGGACCCTGGGATCATGACCTGAGCCAAAGGCAGACGCTTAATGACTGAGCCACTCAGGCGCCCTGAAGACTAGCACTGGATCTGTAGAATGGATCTGTTCTTTCACAGGAAAGCTATCTGTGTGCCTACTACTTGCTACTCAGTGTTCTGGACCCTGGGGATACAGCACAGCTGGCTAGCTTCCCTGTGTGGAGCCTGCATTCTGGTCGGGGAAGAGATGAATGTGTAGTAGGCCCACTGATAAGTGCCTTGAAGAATAAAAAGTACTGTGCTACTTTGCGAGGGGGCCAGGGAAGGCCTCTGGTAAGGTGGCATGAACAGAGCCCTGGACAGAGTGAGCTTTGAAGAGATTTTAGAGATGTCTTTTTTTTTTTTTTTAAGATTTTATTCATTTATTTGAGAGAGTGAGAGAGAGAGAGCACATGAGAGGGGGGAAGGTCAGAGGGAGAAGCAGACTCCCTGCCGAGCAGGGAGCCCAACGCGGGACTCGATCCAGGGACTCCAGGATCATGACCTGAGCCGAAGGCAGTCGCTTAACCAACTGAGCCACCCAGGCGCCCAAGATCTTAGAGATGTCTTAATTTGATACCCCAGTGTTGTAGATCTGGTAAGTTACAGTCCAGATAAGCTGAAACATGTCTGTCGATTGAAGACTTCATCTCTCTCTCCTCTGCTCTTCCTGCTAAAGCTAAACTGCATCTCATTCAAAGGTGGCATTCATCCTGTATTAGATATATCTACATGTTCTTACAGACTAAGATGTATTTTGATAGTTCAAATGTGTGTACTTCTTGTAATTGTTTGGAAAATACTTTTATTTTCCTTTTTTGAAAATATAATATTTACAGGAACAGTGACTTTGTGATTTTTTTCCTTTTTACTGCCTTCTTGAGACTTTTGTCTGCTCCAAAGTGAGGTAGTCCTTGTACTTGATGTCTTTATGGTGTTTTTGAAATGGCCACCTTCATCTAGCTGGCCATGTTAGCCCTACCTATGCTTAATGCCTCAGTCAAGTTCAATGATTAATTTACAACCTGAAGTAATTTTCTTTAGTTTATTGAAATTAATAATGCAAGATTTGAGCTTATTTTCCCACAGTTCTTTGTGAAGAAAAGAACATTTGTGTCTGATTTGGGAGGTGTTAGCTGCCAGAAAAATAAGGAAGTAGCTATAAACCTAACTGTGTTTGACAGTCACTAAGACTTAAAGATTGTTCATATA